AGCATACATTGCCCAGGGTGCACCACGTGGACGTAAGTCTATCGCACACCCCCACGTGGTTAAAATATTCGTTTGCAATCGACGTGAATGATTCGCCTCTAATTTTGCTTTATTTACTTAAATGAGGAAGGCGACTTAGTGGCAAATAAGTAGGTGGTCCACTTAACGATGTAGAAGACAACTGTTACTAACTCTCGTAAGTAATCGACGTTATCGATTAGAATGTCCACAATTAATTACTGGTATCGTGAAGTTTTTTCCCAACGTAAAGATTTAGAGTACATTCACTCAGATCGTAATTTATGGATGTCATTATAGAAAATACGTTTTCACGGGAGAGACGTATAATTTCGCCTCAGTTAGGCTATTTAACTACTACTTCCAATTTATTCCTTCGTATTGTTACGTCATTTTCCTTTAAGTTGAACAATATGAGTAGTTGTTCTCCTTATATTTTTCATCTATACCTCTTTATTCAAGACATCAGCAACACAGGAGCTTCTATTGCCTCGGCACCTAAAGACGTGCTTCAACAAGCCAATAATACAACAGCGATCAAATTCTGAATTCCCAATTGGGCTTCTTTTATTTCTTTAAGCTGAACTTTCTTTATCTTATTTCTCATTATTTTTTCATAAAGTGACAGAAAAACACTTTTTAAATTCGCGCTAATCGAAACTGCCCTGTATTTGCTATTCTATGTAAGCAAAAAGCATCTTTGTTTACAACCTGCAAAAAATGGCATTTTGTCTACTCTTGTGTGCATGTACTACATTTGAAAGCGTTGCTCACACTTTTTCTATACGCAACTTTTATGACGCGATTAATCTGCCTATCTGCATGAGAGTTTAACAAGGCAGCAACTATGAGAGAGGAAGTGACATGACTATATTAAACTTGTGAAATTTGAAACATATGAGATTTCGAGCGAATTTACGAGAATAAAAATGAAAATGAAGAATGAGAATGCTGAAAGCAAATCTCTCGTAATTCAAATTGAGAAGGGAAACTAAATACAGCTGAAGATTATTGGAAAGTCCTTCAGGAAGGGAATGAGTTTAATCAGAGCTTTTAATAGCATGATAAATTCCCTAAAAAGTCTTTTGCAAATTTGACCTCTGGATAGCTTAGCATATAGATTTTATCTATTGGCAGTGTCTTCTTATTATTTTACTTTGTGGCACGCCTTTAATTGCAGCTTTATAAAACTTCCTTTAACATCAAGTAGCGTACTGTTTCCTCCTCTGTTAGTGGTCTAACCCAACGCTGAGTTAAGTAAATGTATTTGGATAATTGATCCTTCATCACACCTTTCGGCACTTAACGCTAATCACATTTTATTATTCCGTATTTCCAATCAGTTAAGTACAATTATAGCCATATTAGAATATGATATCTTCGAAATCCAAAAATAACCATCATATCGATCCATATATTAAATTAAATTCCTCTAAAAGGCGATTATAAGTGAATAATTAGTCTATTTCTGTTTGGTAACTGCTAAATTAACTAGGTTTGTAGTATGAGTGGTAGATTGGCGAATATATTTGCGCTGCTGTTAATAAGGAGAAAAATGTTTGAGAGCATTAGCTAAATCGTCATATATCTTATTGAATTCTATGTGTTGGTACATAAGCCAAACCATAATGATTTGCGTATTCTAAGTGTATAATAACTTAATAACTTTGTTGACGTCATTTCAATTTCTGTGAGTTATGTTAAAGATTGTGAATGCTGACTGCAGTTCAGAGATTTGCAAATATTCTCAGGGTAAATGAAGGCCGATTAGTAACCTGAGATGTCATGTAGGTGCATTTGCATGAAAACCAACCAAATGGAATTTGACAATTCTTTCATGCTTTACACCAATATCTCGTTGTAGTCCAAATATTGTTCATATTTACTTGGAGAAATCGTGCCTTATCTGCTTACCATCTTTTGAATATAGTAGACACTTCATCACTGCATATGTGTATTAGCCGAAAAAAACAATATTTCTGATATACGATTTCTCATTGGTATGCACACCATTGCTTGATTAATTACTTAGCCAACTCACAATCTAGATTATAATTACGCGTGCATTTTCTATGCTCAAGTAAAAACTATAATTTTGACTGACTTCTGACAGGCCTTTTATTTTTTAAAGTGCTTTGAATGATTCCGAAACTTTGGAAGAACTTGGGTGGTAATAGGGAAAGTATTGGGTTGGCAACCAAGTCATTGCCGTTTTTGTTGACGGATTCACTCTATACTTTCTTTTGTTTTGTTAACGTGGCCAGAGCATCTAACCTTTATTTTTTTCTTACCGTATGGACTTCTAGGTTAATTGGTAAAAATTTTTTTTGTTTAGTTCTTTAGTTTTGTTTTTATCCCAATTTAAAAATGAAAGAACAGGACGTGCACTTCCGACACATTTTATTGTATTACTTCCGAAAAGGCAAGAACGCATCGCAAGCACAAAAGAAGTTATGTGGCGTATATGGAGATGAAGCCTTAAAAGAAAGGCAGTGTCGAAATTGGTTTGAAAGATTTCGTTCCGGTGATTTTTCACTGAAAAATTCACAACGATCTGGCCGCCCAGTCGAAGTGGATGAAACCCATATCAAGGCCATTATCGATTCAAATCGTCACAGCACAACACGAGATATTGCAGAGAAGCTGCTCAATGTGTCGCATACATGCATTGAAGTAAAATGAAACCCTTGGTTATGTCAAGAAACTTGATTGATGGATCCCTCACCAGTTAAAGGAAATTCATTTGACGCAACGGATTAGCATCTGTGATTCGCCGCTACTGAAACGCAATGAGAATGAGAATGATCCATTTCTGAAGAACCTAGTTACTGGCGACGAAAAGTGGATAGTTTATAACAATGTTACTCGCAAGAGATCATGGGTGAAGCAAGATCAACCAGCCCAAACAGTATGAAAAGCAGAGATTCACCAAAAAAGATTATGCTGTCAGTCTGGTGGTGGGATCACAAAGGAATTTTGTATTTTGAACTCATGCCGCAGAACCAAACGATAAATTCAAATGTGTATGTTGAACAACTGGCAAAACTGAAGGATGCAGTTGAAGATAAGCGGCCGCCGGCATTATCAAATCGGAAGGCTGTTGTTTTCCATCATGATAACGCAAGGCCCCACACATATTTGGTTACTCGGCAAAAATTATTGGAACTGGGTTGGGATGTTTTGTTTTGTTTTGTTACACCCACCATATAGCCCTGACCTTGCGCCTTCGGATTACCATTTGTTTCGTTCCATGCAAAACTCTTTAAATGGTAAAATTGTTAACAACGCGGATGATGTCGGATCACACCTAATTCAGTTTTTTAATAGCAAAGACCAGACATTTTACGAACGGGGAATTTTTACTCTGCCAGAACGATGGAAGAAGGTAATCGACAAGAACGGCCAATATCTAATTGAATAAAGTTATATTTTTAAACAAAAATTCCGAATTTGCCTTCTTATTTGAAATTGGCAATGACTTAGTTGCCAACCTAATAGTTAACTTTTACATCTGTCATATTATTGATAACAATAGCCTTGTTAGTTGATGCGATTCCCATGACGAAAATGGATATCACTGGTTGATTGTAATTTGCCCGAGAAATATTTTAGTTAAATTAGTACGGTTCAAAAACACCAAACGTTTAGAATTAGTCTTTGATTGTACGTGAGTTTACATGGTTTCTCATTCTTATATTAATATGAAGTCGACTTAAGTAGTTATTTGAGGCTTAAGATTTGTTTTAGTACTCCAATCTAAATATTACCTTGTAAACTTCTTTAGTCATGATCTATTTCACTAAAAATGTTCCTCCTAACATAATCAATTGCCCCTCACGAGGTCTTATAGAACATACTGTGTCGCAAAATCTACAAAACGTAATTTCCTTTCGTTAATTTTCTTTGACCTTTGATAAGTATTTGGATCTAATTTGTCTGACATCTTAAATGGAAATAAAAGGCACGTTGTTTTTGATTTGGTGGTGGTTCTACCTTCAATCATCACGTACTCGCATGAACATCAATTAGTACTAAGTATAAACTGTCCTTTTAAGAGCACTGAATCTTGATTTTCAACGGACTGTAGTGCCACTTCCTTGATGACCCGGCCAAGTACTCAATTGACTCAAACAGATTTCTTAATTAAGGTTTGTAAGCATTTACAATTTATCAATTGAGAAGTTTTTGGGTATGTTATACGAAAATTCATTTCCATTATTTAACCAGAACGGTCTTCTTAAACTGAAATAAATATTAAAATGTATCTCAATTAGTTTTGTCTAGATATCCTGGAGCAATGAATTAGAGGTTGGAGTGAGGGCGGAGTCTTCCACTGGGTATGGTAATGAATGTGCAGAAATAAATCCAATTATTGAACACACTATGGAATTTGTTTTAATTTTCAAACTTTGATTATCTCCATACGAATGAATTCATACTGTTTAGAAGTCCTACAACCTCATTCTCGTTGTGCTATCGAGTTAAAAATGAAATATTCGATAGGAGAAGGATGGTCAGAAAAAATTGTAACATGATTCCTTCCAACCAATATATGAATAAAATAAAAATTATTTGTTGATTTATTGCTTATTTTCAAACATTTTCTCTAAAGTACATGTTAATCCACTCAGTAATCATTTGTCTGCACTTTGTAAACCAGGCAAAACTTTATAGTAAATGTTATAATTAAATTTATCTGCTACTTTAATTGAATTTCTTATAGGTTATTTAATTTAGTAAACCGATTTGCACTAAGTTGATATAATGAAATGTAAAAGTGATTCGATTAGATTTTGGAATCGATTCGTGTTGTAGACTTGTGAATTTATTTCTTCCTGAAGGAAAAAAACCGACAAAAAACCAACTTGAAACAAATGTGCTTGAAGTTATTGACAAAAAGACACTGTTTGGTTTGTGGATGACGATGTAGATTATATCGAAGTAAAGAGAAACAAGTCGTTTTTCTTGAAAAATAGTCAAGTTTAATCAATCTAAAGAAAGGAAGAAAACGTTAGTTTAATTCTTATTCAAGTTAATAATTTTAAAGCATTTTGGTTAGCGGTAAGAAGTCGCTTGTTAAAACAAAATTTAAACCTTCGTGACGAAAAATAGAAAGCTGCCATTTTAGATTGTGCGCGGTTATTTTCAATCTCCAGCTGATCACACTGCAGCATTTACTCACAAGTGTGAAAGTATTTAGTCTAAATAGGAAATTTTTCTTTTTTCCTCCACTTCATTAGCTATATTTTTTGAGGAAAACATGAGACTTAGTATAACACTCAGTTATCTTTTTAAGCAGGCACAATTTTCTGCGGTTATATGCTACTTACGTGAATACATCATATGATCAGGTGGTCCAACTATCATGCCTAAAGCAAAAATGCATTTCGAAATATATATATATTTTATTATCCTAGTCAGGAAAGTTTCAATTTTACGGAAAATGTCTTGGAAAAAATTTGATTCTTAGGCTCTTATCAATACATTGAACTAGACTTCTGTGGTTTTGGCTGCAAATGTGACCAGAATTTGGAGAATTGAAGAAAAAAAAGGTGAAGTTAAATTAACTGAGTTTGCTTATTGCTGTTAGAAGACAATTCCAAATACAATTCACTGACAGGATAGAGTATAAGATCAGGTTCGGGGTGGGCTAAACATGAGAGAAAACCACAGCCAATAAGTACTCAGTACGTTGTTAAGATATTAAGTGAGATAAAATTAAATGATCACACACAAGTAGGAAGCCCAAATAAACGTGTGAAAACAAAGCGAAAAGAAAAGAAAGCATAGGCAGTGATCTATGAATGGACTGATAAGAATAATGATAATAATTTGTCAAGTTAAATGCTCTCAGTGCCTTAGATACTACGGTGATGTTAAGCAAAGAAGTTGGAATACGACTTTCATTTACCTCTTGTAGCGGAGGAATCGCGGAAATATTTTCGATATACGTCTTCTTCGGTGAAAAATTTATCTAGCCAAGATAGCCAAAATAGAACTCAGAAACCATGGCATTCAATCATCTCAACGCACATTTAAGCAATGGAAATACGAAATCGAATTATTAATATATAAGAATATTCTCCTTGAGTTAATATTTTCTCTCTTTTATGTTTTATTCCTAGGAACTTTCATTTGTAGCAAATCTGTTACTTACTTCCATATGGACCGGGCCGAAGTTCGGGGATCACTTAAACGATTATTGGTTTTTTGTTAGAGATAATAAGGTACTTCAGAAGCATTTTAAAAATAGTCTTACCTCCTTGATACAAGCCATTGCCTATTATTAGAAAATAGGATTTGCTATTAAATGTGGTATAAACCGATTCAATGATTATTTAATGCTATTTAAAAATCATAAAGGGGAATCTTATAAATAAATTTAACAAGAATGTCTTTATTCGAATTGCACTGTCGTGATGATCTGATAACTAACATTTCTAAATAGAATGTTTTTTTCAAATACATTTATTGATTTTGTCAGCTAAATTTGTTTTGTTTACGTTTTGCGACATAAGAACTATCAGTCGATGACTTTTGATTGATTATTGTTCTTCACGTAATTGCACAAGACCTTCAAGGGATAAAACAGACAGCGCCTCGAAGTCTAACTCATTTTGCGTGCCTATCACAATTCTGGTTGCCCTAGCTCACCACCAATGGTTCAATTTCATCTCCCAATTACCTCTACTTATCCCGCTTTTTTCCTCTCGTACTCACTCCAATTCGTCCTACATTACACTTGGTCTTCTCATTCGGTAAACGCTGGTGTTTCTCGTTGGCCTTGGGATGATAATTAGTTCTTTGGTAAGGCAATTGGATTAACTTCTTTAGGCGATTAAGGTAGCTTCACTATCTAAGCCAAGCCTCTTTATACTTGTTATTCTGAACTCAATCAAATTAGAGTTATATTTGCAAAATCAGTAAATATGAAACTTTCGTCTTGAAAACCAAAAAATCCCTGAAACCTGCAATCATTTACGCTAAAACTTAAGCTGTAAAATCCTTATGTAAATCCTTATTGAACGATGATAGAAACATACGGTTTGTGCTACGATTCCTTTTGAAACCTAAAATAATGGAAACATGATTCAACTTTATCTCTTAATTTGATCATGCATTTTGCTTCCATTAAGCAAAACTAAATGTGCTAGGTTAGATAAAAACCGTAGAAAATATTCTTCTTACGAGATGTGCTTTCGTGAGGCGTTTTGCATTTGTGGTAACGTTCTACAAAAAAAACATGTTTCAGCATTTAATTTCGCTCTAGATTTGAGACCCAGGAAGATCATTAGTTCAACGGCAATTGCAAAAATTAAGTTTGGAAGCCTGCAAAGAAGCTAAGTTAGAAGGCCATGAGCAAAACAATTTTTCCGCTTATATAGTTCATGGTCGATAATAGAATTGTGGTCTTAAGTTCCGATGTTATTGTCTATTTTGTTTGAAAACGTACCAGAACTCATTGTATTTCCACCTTGTGATTTGCCTTTAAATTTCCATTTAAATTATTTAACGTATCAGTTGGTGATATATTTTAATATAAATAATCGAAAAATGTTTAATTTTAATATCCCTCTACTGGCCTAAGTCGATTTAAACTTATTTCTGAACAAATTACTTGGCTGAGACGTAGCGATCATCCTTTTTTCTCGAACATCTGAAATTTTAATGAAATTAAATTTCAACGCACTTCTCATTGCAACATATGTAGAGATGCAAGATTTCCTTTCCTGCTGAATACTTTCGCCATTAGATTTATGACAAACAGAACATCCACCAATTAATTAAAAATTTAAATAACTCAAACAAATGCAGTTTGTTTCCGCCATATAGTTATAATAAATCCGATAAATGCAATATCATAATACTGGACCTCACAAATCATTCGGTATTTAATATTTTAATATGATATTGTTCAATTATTCTTTTTATCTTGATTTTTGAATAGCTTCAACATACTCACTTGATTTACCGCGTGTGTTACTTTTACAATCTAAAATCAATAAAAAAGTGTGCATTTTTTATTTACTTAAAATTCTCTTCCAAAATTTTAAATTAATGACTGAGTAATTACTACGTGACTGCTAATTAAATTATAATATTAGGAAATGAACTACTCACAACAAGATAACGATGAAGGTGATACAGACGATAAAGAACTAAAGGATGAAGAATCGGAGCCTATCATGTGATTATCTGAAATATAAAAATTTGATTTGACGGCGTATAATAAACTGTCTCATGGCAATGACTCTAAATGAATTCGAATTATTATAACTCAAATTTCTTACGGTGTCTTCTGCTCCTGCGGTCTATAACAGAAGAAATACAATAAAAGTGTGACTTCTATTTCTTTCAAACATGTTAGGAGGTTATTAATTCAGATGCTGACAATTTCCATTGCGTTATAAAAGTAATTTCTCGATGTAAGACTCAGTGATACGTTAGCACATTTCTTTACTCTGATTTTCTGCCTCAACAAAACTTCCTATTCGAAAAAAACATCGTGCAAACAAAATTTAAATTTTTTGGAAATTTTAATCCGTTGAAATATTTTCGTTTGTAGAATAGTTAGTTCCGGACTTACAGCTGAATCTTCTCCTTGCCAGAGAACCTTGAATTTTAGTTTTAAAATAAAGATATCATAATAATACGTCGGTTAGCTTCAATTAATGAGCAGATTTTAATTTATAAATGATTAATATTTGTATACAATTTAGTTTTTGGGGATATATTTAATAATTCTACTCAAAACATTTGAACATTCCAATCAATATGCAAGAAATGTTGAGTTAATTGAATGCACAGCACATTATTGCTCTAGAAATGATGAAAATAGTGGAATTCCAAATTGTTGCCTTTGTCATTCAGTTTAGGTAACGTTGCTGCTATAACGTTGGCTGCTTTTGCCAGGACTACTCTCTTTCATTGATATCTGGGTATCTCTTTCCTTATATCCTCCTGGAAGAAGTAAAAACTATCAAAACTGCAGAATTTGACGGTTTTCTGGAGAAAATCAATGAAAAGGTCTGCTATTCCTATTTTCTAATTTCATCATCGCTTTAGCCATCCTACCCTAGAAGATTTATAATGACTCTATTGGAAACAAAGCATGGCAGTCTGATTAAAATCATCAAAGTTAGATGTTGAATAAAGGCCACAAAACAAATGACAATGCAGCATTTGATGGCATTTGCCTTGCCGTGATTAAATGATTACTTATGATAGTTTCTAAAGTTGATAGGCAAAATGAACTTCGTATCTCTCCTAAATTTCTCATTTGGTTTCTTCCTTGTACAAAATGGGCGCATTTGAAATTTAAATAAAATGGGACTTCGATGTTCTTTGACATGTGCTCATGGAATTATTTCGCTGTTCCTCGGTTTCATTCGACGAACGCTTGTATTTACGATGCTTTTCCATGTTGCTGTTGACTCTATATTCATGTCGTTGGCTCTATTAACTGTATACTTTTACTTGAGGATGTAAAATTTTAACCTGTAATTATTTATTTTCGGTTACTCCACCAACGAAATTAACTTACGTTGACGATCTTCAATAAGCTGGCAATCGCAGTGACACCCACACAGTTCACTAGTATAAAATGAAGAGGATTTGTTGGAAGAACAGCATGTTGATTCACAACATTTGCTGCAAGTGCATGAGGTACTGCTTCCACAGCAGCTGTCAGAATCACTATCGGAATCCAAACTTAGGTAATCTGACTGGTCGTCTACAGATCAAATTTAAGATGTAAGAAGCAACAAGGATAAAAATATCAATTTGTCAATAGGAAATTATCTTACTGAGATTTGGCCATTTCTTTGCCCAAAGAGATGCGCTTTGACTGTATGTATTTCTTGGTCCTAAAATGACAAAATTCGTGTAGCGATAAAGTTGTTGAATTACCCGTTATCTTAGACCCATTATAAAAAACTTTATTGATTAAAGAACTTGTCAAAGTAATTTAAGCGTAGCAAATAAAATTTATTTAATTATATATATAGCGTGCGTGTATGCGTGTGTAATAAGGCTTATGAAAATTAATGGGTCTAAGTAGTGTGCATTTGAGTTAGTGGCGGAAAGTAACTACAATACCATTTATTTTCTATTCACCACGATACAGAAGTGTATTGAGCTTTTTAAAAAAATTTCAATTTAAACTAAAGCGATTATAGTCTGTTAAAAAGATAATACGATGTAGCTTATTTGATGGAACGCGCGGAATGTGGTCGATTTTTGCATCAATATTTAGTCTACATTGTTTGCTGGCTCAACGCCGTTTGTTTGGTAACATTAGAAAGAAATCGTCTTGCTCTACAACTCTGGAGTGAGCATGCATAATATCTCGATATGAAATAAATATTATATAAATAATTTCGATCTCAACCCATTGTAAAACATATAAAGTGTTTTAAGATCTTCCATCATTTCGATTTTTCACTTATGTGAAAGGTTAACATCGGAACTTACTTTGTGAAGATACATTTCTTCTCATATTTGACGTCGCAGCATTTCTCAGTATATCCGCTAAATTAAAGAATATTAAGTTAAATTAATCTGACCTCATTAGAAATAAAATGGAGCCTATAAGTATTAGCTATTTTAAAAGAATATTCTGTATTTTGGACGCAATTAAAATAAATCTGCAATGCACGATTCAAAATCAAATAATAAATTAAAATGAAAGGGAAAAACAATATTTTATTGATTTTTTAATTAATAAATATTCATTTTCCTTGCACTTTTGGTTTGGCTCGTTTTACAAATCCTCTAATATCTCTTAGATTTTATTGAACTTTAAAATGTTTCAAAATATTTTAATTTTATTGACAATATTAATTAAAATAAACTCAATCGATTAAAGTAAGCCATTTTGAATATACACCTTTAGCTTCATCGTGCGTTGCTGACGCCTTGGCAAGCTCACAGTTTCTGGTGTAATCTATAAAGTATTGATAGAAGAAAAAACGTTTTATTTCATGATTTAATAAAAAGCACAATATTTTCAAAATATATTCTTCTTTTCAGTGACTACTTAAAAAGGCAAAATATATCCTAATTAACCAAAATATTATATGGTAGGACAATTAGCCATCATTCATAATACTTACTGTTAAAAACATAAGTTCCGTAATTGTCTTGGTATTCGTCAGCCATCTTCTCAAAAATCACCGATTCACTGCTATGAAGCAAACTAATTCAAGTCCTTAATCGAATGATGTGTAATTAAGAGGCATCTCAAACACCAGTCATCTCATTGGTTATGAAGGATTTGTTGTAATTAGTTACACAACTAAAAATTATATGTACATTGGTTGAAGTTTTCTGTAGGGGGGGGGATTAATTTTGACACTACCTTAATTTCATTTCATATTAGAAATTCATGTCTCTAATTTAGTGAATTGAAGTATAATTTTGTGATAATTACGAAAACTGTACAATATGTTTTATCCTGATTAAGGGTTGTTTGTGACTCGTAAAATATGACTTGATGCTAAACTTCAATTTATGACGTAATTCACTCAAACCATTCAATGATAGTATTGTTTTATTTACAAGATGCTACTAACTTAGCATTTCAAATTCTTCACTTATCAGAGGTAGGCATTGAAGTTGGTAAACGAAATTATTTAATAAAGCGATAGCTGACAGATTAAAGTGGATGTCACTTCTTATCAGATCTGAAGTATGTGAGCGTTGAAGTACGTCTAAGATGCCCCAGATTGTGACAATCTCTGTTATCCTCTCTCGGCAGTGAGAGATATTTCCTTTATTTTCAAGCCTCATGGGTAAAAATAAGCTATAATTTGTATTACTACTCATTTTCCACCGTTCCGCATAGAACTCACCACCTCTGACCATGCAGATGAACCCTTTTCACGCCACGTCACCAATGTACTTTTCCATAATATGATTTTAAATATCTAAAATGAGGAAAAGGAAGTTAAAATCATCATTTTGTAAAAAAAAGTATTTGTCCACTATGTGTGCGGTAAAAATTTCACTTCTAATTAATATTTTTATTTAAAGCTGTTTTGCCACGTAATTAATAACATTTCATGCTGCTTGCGCTGTTGCATAATTTAGGGTGGGATAAACAAGGTAGAGAGAGGGAGAGTTTCAGTGCAGGTACTGCATGTGCCAAAGTCATAAGTAACCACCAGAAAAACTAATATAAAGAATTAAATATAATTAGATCCATTCATCTCACCTAATAAGATCATGTCCTTACACCATTGTGAAGTGTTTTCAAAACGTCATGCGTGCTAAAATTATCGTAGGAGAAGAATTTCCGTTAACTTGGGTTGTTTATATTAGGTTGGCAACTAAGTCATTGCCGATTTCAAATAAGAAGGCAAATTCGGAATTTTTGTTTAAAAATATAACTTTATTCAATTAGATATTGGCCGTTCTTGTCGATTACCTTCTTCCATCGTTCTGGCAGAGTAAAAATTCCCCGTTCGTAAAATGTCTGGTCTTTGCTATTAAAAAACTGAATTAGGTGTGATCCGACATCATCCGCGTTGTTAACAATTTTACCATTTAAAGAGTTTTGCATGGAACGAAACAAATGGTAATCCGAAGGCGCAAGGTCAGGGCTATATGGTGGGTGTAACAAAACAAAACAAAACATCCCAACCCAGTTCCAATAATTTTTGCCGAGTAACCAAATATGTGTGGGGCCTTGCGTTATCATGATGGAAAACAACAGCCTTCCGATTTGATAATGCCGGCGGCCGCTTATCTTCAACTGCATCCTTCAGTTTTGCCAGTTGTTCAACATACACATTTGAATTTATCGTTTGGTTCTGCGGCATGAGTTCAAAATACAAAATTCCTTTGTGATCCCACCACCAGACTGACAGCATAATCTTTTTTGGTGAATCTCTGCTTTTCATACTGTTTGGGCTGGTTGATCTTGCTTCACCCATGATCTCTTGCGAGTAACATTGTTATAAACTATCCACTTTTCGTCGCCAGTAACTAGGTTCTTCAGAAATGGATCATTCTCATTCTCATTGCGTTTCAGTAGCGGCGAATCACAGATGCTAATCCGTTGCGTCAAATGAATTTCCTTTAACTGGTGAGGGATCCATAAATCAAGTTTCTTGACATAACCAAGGGTTTCATTTTACTTCAATGCATGTATGCGACACATTGAGCAGCTTCTCTGCAATATCTCGTGTTGTGCTGTGACGATTTGAATCGATAATGGCCTTGATATGGGTTTCATCCACTTCGACTGGGCGGCCAGATCGTTGTGAATTTTTCAGTGAAAAATCACCGGAACGAAATCTTTCAAACCAATTTCGACACTGCCTTTCTTTTAAGGCTTCATCTCCATATACGCCACATAACTTCTTTTGTGCTTGCGATGCGTTCTTGCCTTTTCGGAAGTAATACAATAAAATGTGTCGGAAGTGCACGTCCTGTTCTTTCATTTTTAAATTGGGATAAAAACAAAACTAAAGAACTAAACAAAAAAAATTTTTACCAATTAACCTAGAAGTCCATACGGTAAGAAAAAAATAAAGGTTAGATGCTCTGGCCACGTTAACAAAACAAAAGAAAGTATAGAGTGAATCCGTCAACAAAAACGGCAATGACTTAGTTGCTAACCCAATATCTATCAACAGATCCCGTACAATCTCAGAGCAGAATTTTAAACTACGATTTCCGCATGCTATTGATAAATTAATATGTCTCGTTATGTCCTCTTGCTGCAAGATCTTAAATACAATAAACGGTCCCTAAAGTACCTTTGACAGTGAGTGCATCTAATTGAGATTTTAATTGGTTATTGAGACAGAAATTAGTTAACTTCTTAGGTGAGGGAAAATAGGCTGCATTTGGAAGTGTACTTTCACCAAAAATCGCTTTAAATTTCAGTTTAATTAAATCTGATACAGTAACAAACATTGCATTTTCAATTTGCAAAGGTTTTCATAAATAGAAATTGAATATTCAATGAATTAATAACTAAGAGCTGATTAATCCTAAAAGCTGTTTCCCTCAATCTAGTTGCAGATTGCCTTATGCAGATATGAGCTCTCACTGCACCTGAGTTTAAACTTTTTCGGCACTAATCTTCCCCAATAGTTGTATGCTTAAAGTCATGATTTTGCTTCAACCCAAAATAAAATAATAATATTGGAAAGAAATTTAAATTTGTGAACAGTAATTATTCTCGGTAAAAAGGAGTTAAAGCAGATTCGCTACATTCAAAGTATCAATCAAACTACGATTATAAGGTCCATTCCGTTGTTTGAACTGACGCCTTGAAGTACAATTTACAGGATTCAATAAATAGGTTTGTAAATAATTGTGCTCCGCGATATTTAGAAGTTGGTGTGTAGTTAATTGGGATGGGTAGTCGATAATATGTCACCTTATTAATTCCTTTTCTTTGTGAAGCACACAACGTCACCGCTGAACAGGTAATCTCAAGCCGTGCGCCTTCGCAGTGGGAATACGTGCGGTCCTGAGTGTGGGGAACACAGCCAATCGCAAATCAATAGTCCTCGTTTGATTTATCAAATCTGCCAAATTAAAATGAGGACTAGCTCCTTGTCAGGACACACCCCACGCGCACTTTCCAAATAAATGTGTTCCGTGTGATACGTCTGCTTCCTCAATAGCTTTGGGGTAGCTTTGCTACTTCTAGGAGATTTTCAAACAGGCGAATCTGCCATTGAAATTTCTGAGTATAGTCAAGGCTTATTAGTGTAGCAATCCGCCACAACTTCCAACAGCCAAAGCAGATAGTAGATATCGCCTTCGCTATTTATGTTATTGATTCAATTTAAAATACTGCAATAGATCTTCAAAGCTTTTTGATTTTACAATATAAACAAAGGAATAATTTGATACCTCTTGAAATCAAATAAAATATGATTCCTGGCATTCAGTCTGCATTATATGGTGCTTTTGATACCCCTATCAGTTCTTGAGAAAATTAGCTCAACAGTGCAACTTGCAAAAGCTTTTTTAAAAGGCCAAATTTCAAAGCATCTTGTCATTGACCGACTGTGGTTTAGTTATTAGGGAGTGGTATACATAATGTAATAATCAAATGCAACTCGAAATCTCAGCATCATTTTAGACCTCCCTCAACTCCGCGATAAATGTAATTAATTTCCATTACTCATCCCATTATAGGATAATGAAATTGAATTGAGGCAATTTAAGCCATTAAACCACCCTGTTACTTGCGAGTGTAACCTAATTACCAGTGAAGACGATAATGCAAGCGCATTCATTCAAGTACTTGAGTTTTTTAGGAAAAAAATAAAAGAAAATATGGCATTTTATTGGAGACCAATTACAGGGCTAAACTTATGAAACAAATTAAAATGCCGAACTATTAGGCATTGTTATTAAAGGAAAATACATTTTATAAACTCTAAACATTTAGTAGTATTAAAGCATATGATGTGATGAAATAAGAGTTGAATGGGTATTAAAGCATGTCAGAAGTCTCCCTTCACTTTAATTATTGAAGCATTCGGTTATCTACGTTCTAATAAATAATGTGTTTCACCTTGTATTGCCAGTACTTTCAACAAGTTTCTAGAGAAATCGGTCTTCTCCACATTCAAAAGTTTTGACAAAATGATGCAATTGGATGATTAGTCATGACACTAATTAATTTAATTTAGTTAATAGGACTAAGGACTTGAGTTAAGTGCCTATGTAAACCGGCAAACCCATACAAAAAAATAGCCTAACATATGTCCACATTATTAGGTTATTTAAGTTGCATAACAGAATTTTTTAATAAATGGTGATAAGGAATTAGAAACTAAAAGGCAGAACATAAAGAATCTTGAATAGAAAAATTATTTGTTGGAGCTAGTTCAGACTAGCGCTGGCATTTTAACTAAGGTTGGACTCAAGTGAGCTCACTAAGGTTAATCTCAAAGCGCATCTGGCGTATCGATCAATCATTCACTTGTTATATTTCACCCCTGTTCAACTTGAGTGAACTCCAATTAGTTGTACTGTATTATAATCATGTTAGCTAGCAACAGCAAGCTCTTCTGCCTATTAGACAAGAAGGAGCGTTGAAATGGTATGAACAATCATTCAACTCAATCAAACAATCAGTAGGATCTAGACATACCGTACAAAACGTGCATTTCTCAATCCCAGAGGCAAATAGTAGTCTTTGCAAGCAGGGAACAATACTTGACTTATTAAACAATTACCATCAAATTGAAGCTTGTTTAAGAATTTTGACGTCAAAACTTTGCTTTCTCCTTCCAATCGAACCCTCTCCTATTTTACGCATACCGTTATTCATGTCCACTGTTAAAATGACAAAGCGTTTGCCCTGTTATTATTACTAATAATGCTCCAGCTTTACACAGTTGAATTAGCACGTATCTGGTCCAAAAAGAAACTGGGAAGCAAATGTAAAGCAAAATAGCCGAAAAATTCCTGTTCCAATGAAACCTCAATTCCAATTTCAGGAGGGACAAAATTTGAATCTCTCAGATAAGTAATCAGTGTCAGATCTGTGAGTGCTGATGAGATAGTTGCATCGAATTTTAAGTAAGCTTGAAAGGAGATTTAATGCTTGTTCTTAAAAGTCGGTTTGAGTGCGTTCCAGTTTGTAACTTCCCTGTTAATAGCGAGTTGTCAGATATCGAAATTTCGTCTGCTTTAGCGAGAGATGGAGGATATTGTGATTGATGAGGCAATAATTACCTAAGATAAGTAAATGTGGATTGTAGATTTTCAGCATAAAATTCTGAGGGCTGACAAAATTAGGCAGATCATACTAGTCTGTTCAAATGAACTATGACCTTTATTGAAAACAAGCTTAGAGACATAGAAGTAATAAATAAATTATCGATTCAAGCTGTTCAGGATGATTTATCGAAATTTTATTAAGTTATTTTACAGTAGTGTGATAAGGTATTCGCACACTAAGCCTCCTCCTGAACCTTTCTGGGCTCATATGAGTGGTAAAAAAGGAACGTGTGACTGTAATTCGACGGAGTCGCTAAAGATTATGATGACTCGCTTCGACCATTATAGCTACTCAACACTCCTCGAAGACAGCGAAATAATCAATTAAAAACTAGAGAATTGAAAAATCGACTACGAATTTACTGTGGTACAAAGAAATCAACAGATCCTCAGATCCGATTTCGCTCGCGCAACCGATTGCATCAAAATTGATATAATTCTTCAGGAAATAATGCAAATCAACAATAACTTTGAGGTAATAAATTAAAGATGGCTCATTTGGCTCCGAAATGGAAAGCAAGGTTTACAGCATTCCATAAACCCGTCAACTTTAGAAGTCTCCTGGTTTGACCCTGTATCGACTGGCAAGTGAAAGCGATTCTCAAACCTAATGTTTTCATCCCAACAACTGATTTGAATACCGATGAAATTATAAGCGTGCGGCAGTTGTTAGAATCATACCTTATCTAGTTAATGTTTAAATTCAGCTATTTGACGGTTCTCATATTATGTAAAAAGCATTTTTTGGCAAAGAGCTGCAAATATTTGCATCTTGAAGCGCATGCCGATTAACGATTGAGAAGCAGTTATGAGAAGTTGGCTGGAATCATTCCATGACCTGCGCATTTTCATCTAATATCCGTACCCACTATTGCTACTTTATACCACATTTGAGCTAAAAGCTTAATCAGTTTTGAGGATAGCCCAAGTTCTACTGTGCCATGTTAAATTTCTATCCACAGTCGGCAAAATCTCTATCTCAGACACTACTGACCTTAATTAGTAATAGGAACTGAAAGCGAAAAAGCAAGCATCAGCTAAAGTATCTATTTTATTTCGACACGATTTAATCAAGAAGTAGAGAAATTTCAACGTCGAAGATTCACCACACCCAGAAATCGGTCAGTCCTTTTAAAACAGACGTTTTTCATAACTGAAATGAAGATAAAAACTCAGTAATTGAAATATTAGTACTGAAGAAACAAATTTTTGTGCATACAACATCTAAGTCGTACACAACATTAATGTTATCATACCTATCTACAGTAGAGGCTATTCCTGAATAACTAACACTGTAAGCAGATTCTCCGTTAATATCGCAACCCTCTTACAATTACATTGTCTAATAAGTAGTTTGAATCATATGAACTTACGAGTGGAGGCTGTGTACGGAGCCCTCAATCTGAGCAGAGGGAGTACGACGTTCAAAGCGAAGCTCTCCACTAGACATCTTCTCATAAAGGTTAGCCAAAGAGCGGGCACCAATCTGCTGCATTCCATGTTGGAGGCCAGCAGCAAGATATGGGACAAGTTGGTGAATCGATCCACGATCCATAATAGCACCTGAGACACCCTGAGCAACCTTAACGCTGTCTTGATCCGAGAAGTAGCGATTCTGACTTGATTGATTGCAAGACATAGCATCCAGGCTTCCCATTCCTACATAAGATACAAAAGTCATAAAAATTTAATGCCTTTTTTTTCAAACTACTAAAGAGAAATAAATAGAAAAACTCACCGCGGTATTTCTTGACTCGGAATCCCTTAGAGAGGAAATATTCGCCAGGAGCTTCGGTGGTCCCTGCAACGAGAGAACCCATCATAACTGTTGAAGCACCGAGGGATAGAGCCTTCACAATAGTTCCAGCGGTTGAAATTCCACCGTCAGCAATAACGGGGACATCAAACTTGCGAGCATACTCAGAAACCTAAAAATGTAATCGGATTCATTGGAAGTTTTCTCCAAAAAAAGTATTGACAAGCGTAGCTGGACATTAAAAGCACCAAATGGCTTGTAATTAGATAAACGAACAAGTTAATCGCATTACACACCACTGAAGTCATGGAACTCAATTTATTTTATTTGAACGCCAATTGATAAGTTCCCGAAGTTGAGGAATAAACTATTTCAGAGGGAGATAAATGGTCCCACCCTAGATAACCACATAGTCGAGTTGAGTGAAAACGATTAAGAGAAAACAAACATTAAAAACAATTCGGACACACCCTGTGTATATTATCAAAAAGCACTAGTTTATAGGCAACGCCTAGTCGCTTAAATCTCACCCTCAAAAAATGTTATCAGTTGTATAATTTGAATATCTCCATAGTAATTAGTTCTTATGTCCCTACATATTATAAATATTAGGCTGTGAATATTTAGATAGATGAGAATCCATCTTCGATCAACTTACCTTGTAGACAGCAGTAGCTTGTGCGCGACCCACAGCAGTGACCTCCTGGGTAATGCAAATTGATCCGCTACCCATGCCAACACGCAAAGCATCAGCACCAGCATCGATCAAGTTCTTGGCCTGGGCACAGGTGACAACTACAAGAAAAATCATAAATCGCTAATAAAGAGAGATGACAACAATTCCGAAATAAAAAGACTTTGAAAACTATCTTCTTGAATTAAAGGTTAAGGAGAAAATAATCTAGATACTAAGTGCTCAAAATCTGAGAGTCATTTCAAAATTCACTTTTTGGCATCCACGAATTCGCTCCACCTGAACAGTTGCATGTGGATTTTTTATTCTACTTTCTGAAAAATAAAAATTGCTTTGTGAAATAAGCATTTATAAAGGCACGAATAAAAGTGAGTCTGTTCATAAAACCGACATTCAGTGCAAGAGTATTATTCAAGCTTTCATCCAAAGTAATATAGAGCAGTAGGCGCCTTGAATCGTTGATACGAACGTAAGCAAAGCATTTTTTACGATAAAACCTTACGCATCAGATAAGCAACATGTTTGCTAAAATTAAACGCAATGAGTTGATGAGTAAAATACCAGCTACCATTGCTGTAAAAAATGCTAAGGTCATCTTGAAAAACAAGCCAAATGTGAGAGGCTCTGTGACCCAAGCAAATGTTTGGAAAGAGAGCGCTAAATGCGAAGGAATTACGCGAACACAAGCTTTAGTAATGACCTTTTGGGAACCGCTGTTGAATCATTCAATTTAGGATAAATTGACTGCAAGTAGAGGTTATCAGGGGTCAAATTCTTTGACAAAATGTTTATTTTATGAAAATTAGTAGTTCTACCAATTAATACGAAAATTAATTCGTATTAATGGAACCCTTTATCTGATAGCAGGAGAAGTGATACAATGACACAAGTAGTAGGAATTTCGATGATAATTGTATTATAAAGGTCTACCTGAGTAAAAAGTGAAAGCTATTGTCAGTCAGATTAGAATATTTCATTCTGTTATTCAATCCATGATCGGCCTTGACAGTTGGTCATTCGTTTGCTAGATTTAAAGAACTGACTTAACAGGTGTACAAAGTGACCACAACCCCACTCGACTATTGGAAAAAATGGAGTGCGGATTTGAACAATCAAATCAGACATCATCATGGTCAAAGACGTCACTACCTCAAATAAAAGGGTGTAACCATTTATTAATCGTTGAACTCAAGACAGACAAATTACAGAACATTTGTATGATAGAGGGATTGACTAACCATTGCCAGCAATGACGTCTACTTGAGGATATGTGCATTTGAGGCGTTTCAGCATATCTATTTGGAAGATACTATTGCCTTGGGACGAATCCTAGAAGACAAAAAATAACTGTAGATTTTATAGAACATTTATCAGTAAGCAGCATTATGATATTTAGAATCTAGATTAGGTCATCTATAGCATCTATTTATCCATCTAATTACTCACTAACCCTTACCTTTTCCCAAAAGGCTGAAACCAAAAGAGAGATTTTAATCAAGGCAGTCATTTTAAACTTTAATGACGAAATTAGATAAGCAAATAATTTAAGTTCAGTTAGAAGGAGGAGGGTTGATTAAGGGGAAGTGAGGTGAAAGGGGGTGATATGGTCTAACACCAAAATCGCACGTTTCTAAGCAATGAAATGCGACGCTATCACTTATAAGCAAGTGCTTAATTAGAAAACCCCTCAACATTGAAGCATTAACCTACATGCTCAAACCTATATGATCGGTAATCAAGCTGATATTAATAGAAAAAGCAGATGTGATCGACTTAAATTTTTCTGATTCGTTTTTCTACTACTCTTTTCTCGAACAGTTTGAATAAGTGACAACCTAATTGCTGAAATAATACAAAGAATGAGAAATTTATTCAGACCTAGTTGACTACTGAAACCAAATATCTTGCCCCAGACTATTTGAACTTTTGATGGGTTCCACTTAGAGATTAAATTTTATGATATCACCGTTCTTTGTTAATGGCCTTTTAACAGCTAGAAAGGGAATTATAAAGCATGATTACCACGCCAAGCTTTACTAAACATTTCTAACTAATCACAACACATCTCGTTCACACTGGTTCAGAAAGTAATTTTCAAAATAGCTGAAAACGGATAATTTCGAGATGATATCTTAAAACTCGTAAACTTGTGACATAGAAAATAGAAAGGTCGATTCAAACAAGTAAATAGATTTGTCTGATTAGCGTAACAAGCGCTCCAACTGTAGACAAATTTAACTTTAAATGGTACCACAGGAGAAATAAAGAGGCAACGATTAATTTTTGATGTCACATGAACTGCACTAATTCGAATAGGAAAGGGTAAACACCCTATGGTAAACTGAAAACAGCAAATCCGCAACTATAATCATTCTGCTAATGTATAAAACTGGTTTAAGGCTCATGAGGTCACGGAAGTAAGCCTTATTCCCATAGTAATTTAACCAATAATGAAGCAACTAAAGAACTTACGAGAAGCAGGAAGTCAACACCGGCGTCAAGAAGGGCTTTAGCACGGTCCCATCCATCAGCATGAGTTGAGATGGCTCCACCGACCAAAATACGTTTGCTGGAAATTTAATGAAGAAAATTACCACTTGCACACGATGCATTTGAAAAAGTAAATCATAGCTTCCTTATAAGATGAAATGCAGAATTGCAGTTACTAGGAAGACTACGTTTGTCAGATAGAAATAATTTGGAATCAAGAGATTAATGGAAGTACACAACAGAAGTCAACCTTACAACGAACATTCGTCTTGAGAAATTAGCACGATAATAAAATCTCACTCAAACGATATGGAGCATCGGTTTTATTAATGTTTGTGAAGCAACACGCAGTGTAAACTTCTGCCAGACCAGTGGCCACGAGGCCTTCTTTACCTGTGCAATTACAGTAAAATGGACAAACAAGGATTAAAACCAACAAGAAAAGCAGCAGTTACCAAAAAGGGGAGTGGAAAAGGTTGTCAACACTTTAAATAGGATAAGAGCTTTCTATATGGAGTGATCCGAATGCATATAGAAAGATAAATCAATATATTTTTATTTAGAAGTAGTAAGTACAGAATAGTGCGAATAACAACAAACTGAACAATTAAGTTCCCAGCAAATGATGAAAGTGATCAACACGAAACCCATTTACGACTTCGCACATCTCTTATTTTGGACATATTGCAGATTCATAGTTAATTCGCTTTAAAGGGACTTAGCTGTGCCCTTTTAGAAATTATTCAAGAACACTTTCATTCACATAGTGTAAATGCCACAAAGTTTTGCAAGCCGAAGCTTACAAACTGCAAAATAATAGGGATAACCAAAATAACTGAACATCGCCAAAGATAGCAATAAATTCATAAGGAAATGAGAAATTTAATTTAGAAATAAATTGAATATTGAGTGATATCATGTAATAAAAATATACACATGCAGTAACATGTAATAACTTTAAAAAAGTGAGTGCTAAATGGACTAACTTTGAATCTTTTGAAGAGAGAGGGTGTTTGACATTCTTTTTAAGATCGGTTCTGGAAATAAGGGAAACCAGCTCCTTGCCCTCGTTAATGATTGGTAGTTTACCTGTGTAAACAAAAAGCCCATGGTCAAAAATTTGACGCCTAAAAAACGAGAACAAAAACAATTTACCTACCTTTCCTGCTTTTCTGCATAATCTTATTGGCTTCCGACAGATGAATACCATCAAAAGCAGTGACTAAGGAATCGAATGGAGTCATAAACTAAAAATAAGAAGTTAACATCTACTTGAAGTAATCACATACCTCAGTAACGGGTGAGTTGAGTTGAGCCTCGTCAAGGAAATCAATATCCCGTAGAGTGACAAGACCGAGCAACTTCCCGCCGATCTTACCCGTATCAGTAATTGGAATTCCACTAAATCCGTGCTCTTTCCTAATCTTCAGGACATCTCCGGGAGTGCTGGTAGGATCAAGAACAATTGGATCCAGAATGAATCCCTGTTCGTATTTCTTGACTTTACGCACTTGATTAACTTGGAAATCGACTGAACAATTGTGATGAACAACGCCGACACCACCACACAACTAATTAAAATTTAGAGGGGAAAATTAGGAAACATACACCCATAGCAATAGCCATATCTGCTTCAGTGACGGTATCCATCGGGGAAGAAATAAATGGAAGTTTAATGTCAATGTTCTTAGTCAGACGGGTCGACAGATCTACGTCATGGGCAAGGAAATCCAAATAACCAGGAAGGATAATAAAATCACTAAAATTAATGACAAAACACATTTTGATTAAAAGCTGAAAATTATTTGTTCCAATAATTTAGTTATTCAATATTACTTACTTGTAGGTAACGCCAGACTTTTCCCTGAAAAGCTCCTGCGCTGAGACACCGTCCTCAAAAACAGTACCGTTAGGCATCATCAATGAAACTAAAATTGGGTCAAATCAGTCGGTCGAAAAAGCACGTGAAAGTTATATACCTCCCGGGTGGAGAGGGGACAATTTGCTTAACCAATCAACGAAGAGCGATTTAATTAATATAAGCTGATGGTTTTAATACATCATATTTGAATTTTAAGATATGATTTAAGATTTATGATTGAAAAAATTTAGATCAACTTTAAAGTAAATATTGTCATACGGCTACATTTCCTAACTGTTACAAGAGTTGAAATTAATAGGTTATATATGAATATTCATTTAGTAATCAGATTAAGTTAGTATATTTTAGGATCCAAACACTTGATATAGTTTTTTGCGCTCGTCATTACAAACTGAAATTAAATCAATGCTTAAACAGACTAGATTGAGCAGGAAGCATATTTTTAGTAGCGAATGTCCATCGATATATACGATTAAAAGCTACTTATTTAAACCACCACTATCAAAATTACAACACGGCGAGACGGTCTTATAGCTTAGTAGGAATGCTTAAATTTGAGTGATGTTAAAATGTGTTTAAGAAATATATACTAAGTGCTTTGTCAGAATACTTGACTTTCTGTTTGAAAGAGGAGTTTCCGATTATATTTAAATTAGAATTCTTAATTTGCTTCCTTCAATAAGTGTGCATTCTCGTTAATGTATTTTTATTTGGAGTGCGAATATTTTTTATGTTACTCGAAATTTGTTAAAATATACTTTGTCATGCGAGCATACTGAATTGCATTTTTACGCTAGCAAATATCTAACTATTATAGAGTAATGATAAAACGTTCCACTTGAGTTTTATTCATCCATGGATTTTGACCTCGTGCCTTGAATCTTAGATCAAATCACTTCTCGTATCGTATAAGCCCATTAGATATCGTTTACAAACTTAGAGTTCACTTGATAATTAGCCGGAAAGGAACTTTACATTCTGTTTGATTGATTAGTTATCTAATACTTTTGATTCAAAGGGTTGCAAAGCATGGTGCTTCGATTGGATTGAAAATAAAGTCACTATAATGATGTCTAGAGCTTACTAACCAGTAATGTAAATAAAACACATTTATATATTTTAAATATATCAGTTTTAAGACCTGAAAGCGCCCGTATTAATTTCCTAGGTTGCATGAGGATATTGAATTAACTATACTTAGTTATGCTGGACAAGTAAGTCTGTGTTATTTTAAGAGTATATATTGACCTAAACAATGGAAATTAATAAATGCCTCACACAACATATAACTCGGATGTGCTCATGCGCAAAACTCTGGTGTTAATAACCGCAAAATAGACAGATAATTCGATACGACTGACTTTATAACAATATCAGTTAATTGAAGTGATTTTGACGAAATAATCAAGCAATATTTGTTATTTTGCTTTATGTTTTCCAGGTAAAATTCTATCTAAACGGAATATATAAACGAGTGAAAGTCATACCTGCTTTTTGGATCGTCGGTGAAATGTATTACTTGGAAATAATCCCATGAGATGCTCATTTCAACACTAGTCAAAACCTCTGGAGCTTTGACACATGTAAAATATCAGTTAATTCATGGCATTATAAACATTACAGTTTCAGAAATTTTAAACCAAATAAAAAATCATTATTTGAAAAACGATAAATTGGTGCCGTTTTGATCTTCGAGAGAATCAGGGTTACCCTTTCGGACAAAGGTCTTAGTGCCGTAATTATTATGTAGAGATGGGTCAGGCGATGAAAGCAGTGGAAAAATTAGCACATCAAATTTAGTTAAACTTTCAGAACACTTTTGAAAAATGAACTAAAAAGCATTAAATATAATAATCCTCATACATTTAAACGGGATTGGGAAATTTTTAATTAGTGGTAGGTGAATTTCAAATTGTAATTTAAATAATTTGTTAGTATAAACAGTACTATGGCGCGCTGATCATCTCGGCCTCATATGTCAAGGTTGCCCTTTATTGGCTTACTGAATTTTGATCCCCTGTGTTAGCTATGATTTCAATGAAAATGTCAGCCAGTTGGGAGGCAGAAAAATCGTCTTCATGTTCTACACGAAGGTATTGCATATAATTTTCATTTAAACATAACAAATACGACTATTGATTTATATATTATTGATTTATAGTAGATGAACACAAGCATTAGATATACTGTCATGAATCTATGAATCGAATTACTTTAAATATTTTTATCATTTTTTTCATTCTGTTATGCTTAACTGAATTTTGTGAAATTTAGACTTTGTCACATTCAAATTGGTCAGATAATTCTTGACAGACCAATTGATTTGGGCGAAAATCCTTGTAATGGAGTTTATTTGGCTCTCCGAATGCGAGGAAACGCTCGAAGAATTTTGCGCTCTCCCGAAATCAGTCTGATTGTTCCTAAAACCAGTCAAAGCTGCCCAAATTCATACTCACCGGGCAGTGGTGGATATATACTTATTGATCTAAATTGTACCATTCAATATTCACATGTGCTCAAAATGGACTCAAATATCCTCCAAATACTTCTCCAAAAGAGAAAGAAATATAAAAACACCACAATGAATTTGGGGTATAAAACGCTGGCTTATTGCAATATAAATCTATCTCAGGTATTTTTGCTTAATATTTTGAATGGAATTTCATATTTATTTTCACTTTAGCCATATATTAGTCTTTTTGTGGTTTGACCGTCTAAGGTATTTTAAAGTCTGAGTACTTTTTAATTATATATTCTATATTTGATTATTTTTATTTAGTCTGCAGATCTATTAGTAGTTAATACATATGTAATTATATTTGTTATAAATTTCGACTCGTAACGTTTGAAACTTCGATAAATAGAATTCTTGAATCCTTAGCATTTATTTTTCCTTTTTTCTATGATGTTGAAATATTTAAATCCTTCTCTAAACCAATTTTGCTACTTAAGTTGCAATGAGATTCGCAATCTATCTTAACCCTCCACTTCCATTTCTTATAGCTTCTTTCTTAAGGCCTTCTAAAATCGTTCAACGAATTAGGGAAAACTCTATTGATGACTGCTCACGCCTATTTCAGCTTTTATTTTGCTAACATTTTTTGCGAAACAACTGATTTTCTAGGGTGACGCCTTTACTAATCCGCTAATATTCCTGTTCATATCAACCCAAACTTCTATAATTAACTTTTTAATGATATCCTTGTTATTTCAAGTTGGAGCTACCTAGATATCCCTAACTAACGCCGTTCTGCGGCCTCTATAAGTCAGTTTCGGGTTTCCTTATTTGAAATCATTGTATTCGACTAAGTGTACATTCATGTCTACCATATAGGACATCTAGATAACGTTTAATGAGTTGGCTCACTGAGTTTCTGTTGTGGCACCTATTTTGATTTATGGTAAAGCGTTCTCTTTTGTAATTGATAAGCTTTTAATTGAAGAATAGTTTAAAATAATTTGGTTAAAAGGAATAAATCAGTACCGATTCCTGACTTTACTTTAAACGGACTATTTCTAGAAAGCAAGTTTAGGAAGGTCAGTGCGTATAAACATATATATTTTTAAAGCATTATTTAATCCTAATTTCTGTTAGTTAGCATTACTTAAGGGTGATATTTGCAATAACATGCGCATAATGGACTGTTGATCCAAGGGCTCTGAGGAGAAATATGTTTAAGCCATAATAGTAGGCTAATCATTTAATATTTTTAAGGTCTTTAATTTGTTTTCTATGTTCGTCGAATTATTCTATAAATCCAGGGGGAGAGATCTGCGTATCCTTTCCCGGAAAGAATTTGCTCAACTGCAATAATTCATCAAAACTTGGCATTAACCCAGTTTAAATGAGACAGATTTCTAGGGTGACGCCCATTTTTTACTATCTCTCATTAATTACAGCTTTATGTAGCTGATTTTCCTTTAACTTCTTAATAATGATTTCTTCGGTGGAATGTTCAAATGATAATTTCTCACAGGCTACAACCCTTTTCTATAAACTTTTGATTAGTCTTGAATACCAGCCTTAGTCTTTCAACCCCGTTATAAGTTTATTTATCTTCCGACTGACTCGATACACTGATGACTGTTTCGATTTACGTTCATTCGTATTCATATCAGTCACACTTGGTTTTATTTAGTGAAGAAGTAGTTTTGGCTCTTTGATTATTTTTCAAAACCCCCTTCTACATACTTATTGAATTTACGTATAAATTTTTTTATACTAAACTCAGTTTCCCATTTTATGCGCCACCTTAACTTCCAGTTGTCTAAATTTGGCAGAACCAATTTCCGTTTCTTTTCTTTCGTTTCATCATTTAAAGTGACTCATTCGTTGTTCTGTTTCGGTTTGTGTGTTCACTATTCCGCTTTTATTTTATTTTACTTTTCCACTTTATTTGCCGCCAATAATTGGGTCAGAAATCCTTTTTTTGTTATACCAAAGACGTCGGCATACTGTAGTGTTCTCAAGGCTGGGACTTCCATTTTCTTTCACTTACCAGAGGAGGGGTGCGCGTGGGTTTTTCCTCAATTTGTTATTTTCATTTCGGCAATACCACTTTTGATTTGTTTATACTTAGGGCTTATTTTATTGAAATGCGACTTTGAAAAATGTTGTTTGCTCTCACTTAAGTAATTCTAGGGATTTATTTTCACGTTTCTCTAAGTAGTTAAAATCCCTAAAGCTTTGAACTTTCACTGCTTTCTATTTTATAGCTGAAACTTGTTCACTATAATATGTAAAATGCTTACAATATCCGGTACATTTTCCTCAGCATCTAATTTCTGTAAAATTGGAGTGAATTGTTTTTCTTTCACGGTAGCGCTTATCTCGACTGTATGTCTACTTATATAACTTAATAGGGCTTGCCTTATTGCTATTCCCTTTCAAAATTTAATGACCTTAGAGGCTAAGAAGATGGAATAACCTTTCACAAAATTTAAAATCATTAGAAGAGTTGGATCATTGGTGGGTCGAATGTTCACAGCTAAAAATCAGAGCGAAGAACTAGGCCGGAGTTAGACGTCTAATCAGCGTAATTATAAAATTCGAGTTCGCTGTGTATGTCTAGTTTGTGTTTCAAACTGACTTATGTGTCATTGTGTGCGTGATATTAGTATAGTACAGTCTATCGTGATTCTAACAGCTGATTTTTTATGTGAATGAATTGCTTTAGGGAGCGAGAGTATAAGATCCGAACGTAAACGTCCACTTTATATTTCACCTATCGGTGCTCTCTATTTCATGACGAGTTAATGTATTTGAATGCTAAAAATATACATATATACTTCCTTCATCATAGACTTGGTATCTGTCTTTTTTGAAGATTAGAAATATCATTTACATATCTGGATGCTACTTTCAACTCTACTCTTCTTCACAAATACTTCCATTAATCGCCTGTCAAAGAGGTTTTCAAGATTCTAGTTCTTAGCTTAGCTTGCCTTTTCCGCATCTGGTGCGATGTCTATGGCGTATCTCTTAATTCAAATGTCAAATTCCATGCACTACTTTGCGAGGAGAATATCTCATTCAGTATAAATTGGACATTGAGAATGTAATGCCACGTTTTCTATGGAATTAAATAGAAAAAATCTTTGACTTATCCAACTGAAAATACCCCAGAATTAAGTGTAACGCTGATATACATTGTTATAAGGCCTCTGTGGAACTAAAATGGGTAAAGATAAGGGCATTGGAATGGTTAGAGTTAATCAAATAAGAAAATTTCATTTGAACATGAAGGGCCATATTGGCGTCACTACATAGTTTTCACTCTGTAGAGTGCGTTAAATTTCGAGTGCTATCGCTAAATTCATTGGATGTGCATTGGTGGAACTCAAAACTGCTATAAATAACACAGTTGCTAATCAACAGTTGTCAGCTGTTCAATTTCTTTTTCATTACTCAATCATTTCGTTCTGATATGATTGACGATGCTTGGCAAATTAGTAGAGAATATATTTAATTAACTAGGGAGTAATCTTCATGCTGTTCAATCACCTATAATGACCTAATCTATTCTAATAATATGAGGCTGGTTCACATAACATATTCTCTTTACGCAATATCAAAATCCACTAGGTTGACTATAACTAGATATTTCTTCAGTTAGTGGGAGTTACGATCTAGCATAAAACACAACGAAGGTAGATTTCTGCTCCAACCTCTACAGTTAGTCTTTTTAGGTTCTTTCTTTAATTTTTAATTTTGCAGTTAGTACCATTTCACCTATTGTTAGATTCTGAGAATTTGGACTCTTGTAACCTAATGTGACCCTTCAATGCTGTTGCATGTGATGTGGTTGGCTTTGTTTACGAGGGAGTTTTTCTTAACGGGCATCGCTTTTTTGCGTTTTTTTTCTGACAAAGAAACTAGGCACAATGTTTAATTTCTTCTTATTTTCCTTTTTTACCCCGTCCCCTCATCTTAGTACTTACTTTATTGTGGGTTTTATCGTGAGTTTATATGTTGTCCGAAGGAACGGCTCCAATCGAGGCATTTATGATCTCGCATTAAAGAATAGCTTCTGTTTTGTAGTGGTTTTATTCTAGATAGAGCACATGCTCTATTTATATAGAGTAAGTTTAATAAGTGTCTCTAAGATTTAGTCTTTATCTCAAATAGGCAGCTTTTCTTAGGATCAACCTTCGTCGGCTCTTTACTACTACTACTACCTAATAACAATGCAAAATCATTTGCAAATTTCATTCTGGGATTAGCAACTGAACATGTGAAATGCCAACGCAGTCCTCCAAAGAACAAATCAAGCATCCAATAGGAGTATATATTGAAGGCTGGATGTCAAGCCACTATTTGAATTCCTATTGCTTTGTGTTCTCCACTCTTAATTGTAGTAGACAAATATTTCAAAGCCCAATTGCTGTGAATTTGAATCAACGTCCGCGATATTTAGTGCTTGTTGACTTATTTGCCTAGTTGATCACGTCATTTATAAATGTTTATTCTTTTATAGACCTCTGGTGGTAGACAATGCTGTCTAAAGTGTTCTAAACAATAGAAGTTAGTCCATTTTTTTCATGCAAAATGAGTTAATTTGATTTTGGGTAAGAATATGAACGAGCAAAATAATAAACTTTCAAATTCGAGCCTGATTTAATTTGGTAAAATTTTTAGAAGGGACTCTAATATGTTTCAAAAGTTACATCTTGATAAGATTTGGCAGTCATTCTTCTGCGTTCCCCTTCAGTTTCAATTGTTTCTTGCTTTGGAAAGTTAGATTTTGTACTGCTTTCCGCTAGATTATAGCAAAATGTGATTTATCCAGTAGCGGGAAAGCATTTCCATTTCTCTTAAAAACACTTCACGTTAAGATTGCATAGATTAATCAAAGCACATTCACTTACGATGGTGTTCCTTCGTATGCCCCACCTACCCACTATTTTGTGTGTTTGAGGTTTTTTTGCGTTTTGTGTAGCAGAATTCGACATTTTCCCTCCTCTCTCCATGAAGTTCAATTATTTTGCTTCCACTTCTTAGAGGGAGAGAGGGGGGGAGAGACAAGAATTTACTTCCTTCAATTTTAAAATGAACTACTGAAAGTTAACACGGACGTCAGTTTCGTTGTTGAAATTGAACACTATTTATCTAGTAGTTTCATGGAATGGTGGTTTTCTCCTCCCCATAGCATAGATTAAATTGATCTTAGAACTCATTTTCCTAGCAAAGGAGTTTACCTTTATTCTAGCTTTCTTATGAACTAATTTTGCACCTAATAAAGGAAACCCATTTCTCCATAGAACCCCTCATAGTTCCTCTTTACGACAATTTTTGTCTATTTACACCATATAAACTTATGGCTATTTTTCCTAATGTGGAGTTTCTGGGACAAGCTTCATGATGAAATTTTAGTATCTTAACGTTGGGCTTCCTGTCGGAGGGCTAGAACACTAAAGATAGCGATCTTGCTGTCAGAAGGAGTGGACAAGTAGGAGAACAGATTTTAGGGAACTGTATTGTGAAGTAAATTCTTCTCTTTTTCTCTAAAATAGTGGAAATTTGTCTTCACACAGTGGAGTTTGCATTTCAATTTCATTTCTTTGAAAAGGTCTTTTTCAATACAAAGTTTGTTATCATAGACTTTTCTTTCGATCTGTTTCGTTTCTTAGGAAAAATCAATTTTTAAAATTCAGCTTTAATAGCTCGAACTCCCTTAGAAAATAATAATTTTAATCCTAAACCACAATTATTGTACTTCCGGTTTCTGCCGTGTGTTGCGGGTGTTTTGGAACATTCATTTATGGGGTGATAATTCCAACTCTGAATAATTTTAAATCATGTTATTTTAGGGAGCAAAAGCCTATTTTGAACTGACCTTTGGACTGTTAATGTGTTTCTTGTCCTTCTGACTAATACTCTTGGTCTACGAGAAGGAGTTCAAGATGTTAGGGTAGTGCAAATGCAAGATAATGAGGAAGTTCGATACTCCATCCCTCGTTGGCATAGATTTTATCTCTTTACAGTTGAATCCTCTGCTAGCTGCGTGTCCATCCTTACCCCTTTCAACTGTGCGCGTGTCTCTATTCATAGCAGGTGCATTTTGCATAGACCATCAGTAGGATCGTATTCATTCAGTTACTGCCAATTCTAATTTGTACACGCCGCAATTATTACGTTTTTTGTCATGGATGGTCGGTTTGAACAGCTCCGTCCCCGCTCAATTATCAGAGCACCTGACATCACGCTTTTGATTTTTTTCGGTGGGTTAGTTATGAGTTCTCTTTTCTCCAGTCTTCTCCCTGCTATTTTTTCCCTAGTTAATTCTCATTCTGTGGAGGCGCTTTTATTTAAGCGGCAATCTGGTGTGTTGCTTTTTTATTCCTCCTCTCCATTTACGTTTATCCAAATCGCTTTTTTTATTTACGAGAGTGCTCAAATTGCTCTTCTATAGGTAACTCAAATAGTTGTCAATGCCTTCCAAAGAAAGGACCGTTTTGTTTTGCATTTCGCTTTATCACGTAGAAATTATCGCGAACATGTTTGCACTAGATATATCGCCTTTTTATTATTTAAAAGACAATATGGTTTGTTTCCTTTATCAAGATACCGCTATTCGACCCTAAATAGTTTTTTCCATTCGCTAGATTTATTTTTTTTGGGGGGGGGGGGATCAATGAACTTAGTGCCTTGGTCACATTGGGAATTGTCGATGGCACTTAGTTCTCGTCTCATTCAAGGTCCAAAAATTCCTAAGTGAAATCAAGGCAATAATTCTAATTCGAAGAAAATCCCTGATTGAAGTTGATCTTTAGGATAATAAGAAGGCTTAGTGAGTATTATCTCTCCTCCAATTTTATATCGTCTTGCTAAATGTCAACCGTTTTAATTTTTCAGGTTCTGCAACGTCGAATTGAGCACCGTTTTCTCGATATGTACCCAGATCCAAAGTGTATTGGGTCATCAATTGCTCGTATAGAGGTTCACTGCCTTTCCACTGTGCCCTGGGAACGCGATCCCATCAGCTCTAGTCACAAGGGTTCGTTAAAATTACTTTTCTCCTAAATTCCCTCATGCATTCTCTGCATTGGTACTTATCAAAGTACATACATAACAGATCTTATTAAGTATTCATTGTCTTAACACATATCATGCCTCTGATGAATTGGTTATATTAAAGAATTGGTTGATTTTAGCGTCTCTTATTGGTGGGGAAATTTTTTCTCTTTCTCATTTTTTTGCCTTTTCAATGCGGTCAAATTGGGGAGATAAAATGCCTGAACTCACTGTAACCATGCTAACGGGTCTGGGTTTTGTACCGTGGAAGCAGATTAAATTGGATTATCCTATTTTTAAGTAGGTTTACTTTTTTCGAAAATTGAAACAATGGGTCTCTGTGAACGAGGTTGGAATGTGGGAAAAACAAAGCACTAGAATGACCAAAAAGTTTTTCACAAACGCATTGAATTTACGCCTATCTGTTAGCAGACTATTGTGACCTATTCTAAATATTCTATTTGAAAGAAAAACTCACATTTTTTTCTAGTCTTTGGAGGAAATAAGTCGACCCAGTCATACAATTTGAATGTGAGTATCTAGTTCATCTTAATTTATTAAACGAGTGTGCTTTGAGTATATTCAATCTTTTCTTCACTCACTAGCAGCCATATTTACATTGTATTATGACTGGATCATACTGGAATGCCTATTCTTCAATGTTATTGATAGCTTTAAGTTTCTAGGTTTAGGTCAGCATTTCTTGAATGGTGTCTCATGGTCAAGGATAGCTGTCATATTATTATTATTGTTGTTGCTATACTTCGTTAATTGACACCATCATTCTACTACAATCGGCCAACCAGTCGTATTGGTAGGTCTTCGATTCGCGTTATTGGCTTAAACAGATAAGAATGTTTTGGATCATGCGATCCTAAAATTATCCCAAATCTCAGTAGCTGTTAAATCTTTAATGTCACAGCATTTTCTCGTTAACTAATTAGTGGAGTCTACTTTCTCCACGTAATTATAGACTAGTGTGCGAGAATATGCTCTTTCAACTATGCCACTTCGAAGTTTTACACTTAATTACGAAATCATGCTCTTCATCTCATAATCATCGTCCCAGCGCCATGGTATTTGATCGCATCAGTTAATACTACTGTCTTCTCCTTTTTTCTTTCATTCCAACCAAACATTTGAATCCATGAGTGCACTCTTTAAGCTAGTCATTTCTCACAGGAATTAAAGGCTTCTATTAGTCTTACGGCGATTCTCAAACGTGACTAGTTTGGTGTCTTGGAGTCAGTAGTGGAGAATCAAAAAGTCCTGTCATGACTTGCTTCTCTCTAATAATATATTTGTTTGTCGGTGTCAATGCCAGAATCAACTTCTTTCCTCTGCTTTCATTTACCCTCACTGTAAACTTTGATATCAATCGCATTTTTCAATTGAATCTACGGGTCTAGTTCAGTGGTCATTAAATAATTGAATTAGTCAACTCTACCGGTTAATGTCTCTTGCTACTACAATGGTGGTGCAAATGACTCAGCGCCGTGGAGTTAATGCTTTGTCTCGAGATGACGTATTTCACTCCTACTGCGTGCGCATCCTACTCTTCATAATTTTGTGGCGTTCGTGCCTTTGACAATAAACCGCATGTTAAGACTTATCACCATGATAACTATTGCTTAGTTCGCAAATTGCGTTGTACTTCGACCCTTCCACCTATTCTACTAGGTGTGAACAAACAGTAACACTAATTCCTGGCTTTATTTAGTTAACTTTTGGGTGTGGTTAATTTTTCCCGATTTATCCTATTCAACCTTTGTCGATATCTGTTTATTAATTTGCTCAAACGTCATGGCAACTAGTCTCTTTGTGGTTTTTAGCAAATCTCAGACGCTGTCTCACTTTTCAAATAAAAAAGAGATTTTAATTAAGTTTTCTCTTTTAAAATCGATATTTACTTTAATTTTCGCTAAGATATTTGTTTAACTACATAAATGTAGTAGGCGTACTTGGTTATCTCATTTACTAACACGTATTTCGACCAGCATAAACTTCGATTCTGATCACGTCTTTGTTTATCACACCAAACAATAATAGATTTGTTGAACATCAAGTAATCCAATTGTGTATCTTTGTCACGATTGGTTAATAAAGTTCATTTTTTCAACTAACTAACCAAAGAAGTGTTAATAAAAAAGGCTGCAAGTAAACTATTGTCTTTCCCGGATTGACCAACCTCAATATCATAGAATCCTTATATTCGAAGAGAAAGTAGGTGAAAGGTGGGAACATGTAGCAGTAGAGTTAGCCATACCAGTTTTCATTCTAACTCTTTCTGGTTCTCACGATTTACAGCTGGGAATTGAATAGCAAATTCAGCAACCAGATGACTTCCCATTCACATCTCTACGCTCTTATTTTCCTCTAATTCTTTTCATTCCCCCGTCTTTTCTCGTTTTCTTTTTTTACTCCTAGTCACTCGCATTGTTCAAAAATTAGTTATGTTTTCCTACGCTTAGAACTCGTATTTTTGCATTGCGGGTGCATGTGGATATGTTTCGGAAAACAGAGAGAGTAATGATGTCTTATGGTATTTCTATTGCTCGAGGTCAATTATCGTCCCGGCATTTTTAACTATGCCTTCATTTTTATTTCATGAATAGCCGATCATGGGTATCTCTCCGAAACCCCATCTCGTTTATTGTCACGGTTTCAAGTTTTTGTGGCTTATTTTGTTACGCATACAATGTACAAAAAAATTTCACATGTCTGAAACTGAAATAGAAAGGTGTTGCCATATATGGAGAACTGCTTTGTATGTTCTACTTTTATACGCATAGATCTAAGTTCACATTGTTATTAATAAGGAACACATTTCTTTGCTAGACTCTACTTTATTCCTCTCACCTATTATTAAAATAGGACTTTTTGATAAGTTTCTTTGTTTGCATAGATGAGCGTTCCATTGATGTATATGTCAATTTGGCAATTGCACATAACTGCCGAACTTAGTTGAATTTTCAACATAACTACTTCCACCCACGACGGACCAAAAGTAAATATCTTCAATTATAAACAATCCCAAAATATGGGAAACAACACACTAGTTTTTTTTGAAATTCATTGTCCTATGAAATTGGGTGAATTACAGGATCTGTCTCCTAAATTTCTGATCAGAAGGTTTGTGTTTGTCATTCATCAGGTTTATTCATTCTCCGTTTGATAGTTTGTGTCTCTACTGCAAAGGAATAATTAACTAACTCTCCTGTTGCATAGGTACAAAAGTACTCGTTTGACTGATGGACAATTAAAATGTTAGCTAACAAACGAGTCATAAATAAATCGTTGTATCCCAGCCTCGATAAAGTGGTATTTACTCTCCAGGACACTTATCAAACCCCCCCCCCTCCCCCTCTCTATCTTGTTATGGCTACGTTTGGCCAGTACGAGCGAGTTAATATGCACGAGGTGAATTGCTCCTTCTTCTTTACACTAACAAGATCCCGCTCCCTCAACACGCATGTTTGTTCTACTCGAGTAATTTATAAAGGAAATGAACGCTATAAAGGAATTTCTTGGGCTTTCCAGAGGGCTTTATAGAAAAGGGCAAATCTTAATGAGATTATACTTCAATATGCTGCGTGCTATTATTTGGCGCACATTCGTTGGCAGGTAGTGTGTCCACCCTAAATTGTCAATTCAATTTAGTTGCACTTGTCCTTTTTAATTTCCCAGCTTATTTTGACTTTGTGATTCAGTAGTGTCTGGGAGTTATTTGAAATACATCCCTGAATTTATTTATCTAAATTTGCCATTATTTGAATAGTCAATTTCGTGGGGGATTGCTTCAACTTAACAAAGATTAAAGACGAGGTTTTGTTTGTACGAAGTATCCGTGTATGAAACATTTATAGTAATTTGGTTTCGTTGGGTTTGCAACGCATCGAGTGCTTCTCTATTATTAGTTCTAAAAGCAGTGGCTTACAGATCTGATCTGCTGATCTTGCTACTCTTGCACGAATGTTCTTTATCACTCAGAAAGGTTTGATTGACTTGTTTTAAGTTTTTAGCAATGATGAGTTTTTTATTGAGTTCCTTCATGACCTCTTTAATTCGCCTCAAATAGCTCTGCATATTTCTTTCTTCTACACGCGTGCGTCACTACGTTCAATTTTGCCAGTCTCTTGCTCATCCTACCGTTTGTCTTTGTTTCATAAATCTCCGGTAGTAAATTTTGGTATGTATTTACTTAGTATTATTACCGCACGGAATAATATGATTTATAATTGGAGGGGGGAGAGCAATGAACTTTGTTTAAAATAAACTCCAGCAAATGTTCAACGGGATACAATAAAAAATTCATTTATTTATTTATTTATATCAAATGACAGGCTTTATGATGGTTATCATTAGCCCTTTAGTTGACTTTGGGCTTCACAGAGAGGAGGAGGAACATCAAAGTCACAAAAGTCGAGAGATGTAACGGAAGAGTGATTCACAGAGGTACAAGCGACAGACAGGCACAATGGTAGAGAAAAAGGTGAGGTGAGTACTATGGAAGTAGTCGAATATGACATACGGTGGGGTCATGGTAATTTGAAGTCAGAAGTCAACTGTCGATTAATAGACTTTTTGCCGTATGAGTATACGTTGCCCAGAGTGCACCACGTGGAGGTAAGT